TTAATCATTTTCCGTTACCCCCGGACAAACTGCAGCACTGCATATTATAACAGTACGACGCATTATACGTGTAAGCTATTTTGTATACGGATATAATAATTATTTAATATTCAAACGCGCCCGCGATGGCTTCGGAGACCGACTATCTCCGCGTTAAACGAACCGTTTTTCTTTTGTTAACTAGCGCGATGGCCACGTACTGCACGGTTATAGGTCTGCCCGTATAATAACGTTTTGTTTGCGTCTGTAAACGACTCTCCGGTATACCGGAAGTCTTCACTGAATGCACTCGTATCGTCGGACGGTCTTTTCTGCAGATATCTCCGTGACTTTCCGGCGATTGTTGAATTTTAAGCGGTTCGAGCGAAAATTACGGCGTTCCGAGACGCGCGCGCAACCGCGAACCGTATCGAATTCAATCGTTTGCGCGCACATTACGCGCGGTCTCTCCGGCTGTGCGGGGGCCTCGTCGAAAATTCCGTCCTCGGGGACCGCGAATGCGCCTCAATCCGGCCCGCGCGTCGAAACGGATAGCAACAATATTTGTTATCGGTACCGTCGCGGGCCGGCGGGAGGCTTTGTCCGGTCGCCTAGCCCGCGGCCGAGTCCCGACGATCCCGTACATTATGAATTCATGCGCCCGCCCGCCCGCGTGATACATTGTGTTACGACGACGTTGTAATTCCGCCGTCGTTTCGGTTTCGCGGGGGGTAAAACAGGGTCCGGCGACCGCGGCGAGAAATTCGGAAACCCCGTGCGCGCTGCGGCGGCGGCGGTCGCGCCGCATTCTCGGGGTTTTAAAAATCGACCCGGCGTCGGCCGCCCATTGCTTCGCGTCGCGGCGTAACCGCGCGGGACGCGAGCGTTTTTCGTCGGGCCCGGACACTATTAATATTGTCATTATTGTTACGCGATCGTATCGGGGCGGCGTAGCGGACACAGAGAGAGAGAGAGAGAGTGAGAGTGAGGGAGAGAGAGAAAAAAAAGAGAGATACCCGGACGACCGTATTGTTGTGGAACCGGACGGCGGCGGTCGTCGAGTCTTTTACGCGCAACCATTGATGGAGGTACGCGTACGCAGGTAGTTGGTCGACGACGTCCAAAATGACCGAAACACGTACGCGCCCGCTGCGAATCGCTAGGCGAACGGAAAGAAAAAAAAAAAAAATATACACAATAATAAGAATAGAAACTCCCGGGCTCGTCGTCCGCACAGTTTTTTTTTCATATTTTTTTTTTTTCTTCTCCGTCGTCCTCTATACCATATAATAATAATAATAATAATAATACCAACGACACGGTAGGACGCGGCGCGGGGGACCGCGTCTTCGCGACCGTAGAGTATTATGTACGCGTATCCCGTACGACGTTTTCACGTCGTCGTCGTCGCGTCGCCGTCTTCGTCGTGCGTTTCGTGTGTTATTATTATTATATTTTTTTTTTTTTTCTGCGCCACGACTACAACATAATATTGTTACAATACACACGACATGTTAACGTGTGCAGCGCGCGGCGGTGCAACGGCGACACAAAAGCGACGGCGGCACACGCACACGCGTGCAAATACACAATAATATTTTACACGCGCACGCACACACACACGCACACAAACGAACGGGCACAATGGTCTGCGCTGCGAGGCGGAGTGAAATCAGTTTTTCCGCCGCGCCCGTCCCGCGTGAGCGGCGCGCGGCGGCGGCCTATGCGTCGTATTTATTATACGGACGGCGGCGCGGCCACGGCGACGACGACGACGGCAACGGCGGCGGCAAAACGAAGGCAAAAAAAAAAAAAAAAAAAAAAAAACAAAAAAAAAAAAAAAAAAAAAAAAAACGAAAAAAAAAGAAGAGAGAAAAAAAAAATATACGAAAAAACGCACGACGCGTTCGTACATAAATAATAATGAACGTAAACGCATGTGGTGTACGGGCGCGCGCGGTTAGGCGGCGGTACACGGGGGAACAGGGGGTGGGTTGACGAGGACGACTTCGCAGTCGGAAACTCCCGAAATACGACGTCACCTTCAGCGCGAACTGGTTTTTCTTTCTTCGGCGTACGCCTTTTTCGCTGCCGTCTCGTCTCGCTCTCGCCCTCTCGCACTCTCGCACCGTCCTGTTTCTCGCACACGCCGCTCGGTGTCTCGGCCGTTTTTCGCCGACCCGTCGATAATTGCGACCGGCTGCCGCCGATAATGTGCACGTACACGCACCGCCTCGGCGGCTGCGGCTCTGTACGCGCGGCGGCGACGACGACGATCGCCACACAACCCACACGCGGCATATTATCCGCGTAAAATTTAAATATATATATATAATATTATAATATTACTACGCGCAATATATTATTATAATGTCCTTGTTTCCGCGAACCGCGCGCGCTAATGATTACGCTCGCGTCTACCGCCCGCCGACCGTTGTTGTAATATACGCACACACGTGTACCGGTTCGCGTATACGCACGCACACACACTCTAAACTACGTACATAAATACATACACGTGTGCGTGTGTGTAAAACGATACGATAGGCTGGCGGCGGGTGTTGTGAAACACGTCGCCATCACACGGTCGGCTGGGTCGATGTAGCCGCGCGCTCGTATATATAGTGTTGTGTACGACGACGACGGCGGCGGCACCGGCGAGAGAGGACGCGAGTGCCGCGGTCGGCGGGACGACAGTGAAACGAGTGGCGGCGGAGCGGCGGCGGCAACGATGCATATAGGCCGTCGGCGACGGCGGCGACGGTGCGCGGTGTCGACGGTGCGCGGTGACGGCGGTACCGTCGAACGGCGAGGGGGGTGGAGGAGCGGAGCGGTACGAGAGAACCGTAGCATGTCGCGACTGTGGAAGCCGATAAGACCGCCGGGTGTGTCCGGGGCAACGGTGCGTGCGCGGGTAAGTGGCGACGGCGGCGCGGTGTCGGCGACGACGGTGAGGCGCGCGGTGTACTCAAACGGCGGCGGCGGACGTGTATGGGTCGGCGGGCGGTTTAGCGACGGTAGGGGGGGCAGAGAGGTCCCGCGGGCTTAACACGCGATCCGCGGGCCCGGAAGACGGACGACAGACAGACAACCGTCGCCGTTAGTGACGGGCGGGAGGCGGTGGCGGTAAGCGGTGTGTGTGTTTGTGTGCGCGCGTATTATATACGTATATACGCGACGATGCCCGTAGGCGTGTGGGAGAAGAGAGTATTATATATATATATATATATTGTATGTGTGCGTTTGTGTGTGTGTGTGTGTGTGTGTTGTACGCCACGGTGTAGCGAAGGGGGGCAGACGGCGGCGGCGAGTGGTTTCGGCGTGGTGTGTGCCGCGACGGCGGGTGTCGGAGGGGAACACGGAGCGGATATTAGAACGGCGGCGAGAGAGAGAGCCGCCGGCCGCTGAGCTCGGGTCACAATCATAATGGGCATATGGGGGACGGCCGGGTGCGAGCGGCGGCGGCGGCGGCATCGGACGCGTCGGCGGGTGAGTAGGGTCCGCCGCTGCCGCCGCCGCCGCCGCCGCCGTGCTATCCGTGTCCGGCAGCTAGCCAGCCGCCGCCACCGTCGCGACTCACCTCCACCCTTTTATCTATACATTTCAAACACCACCCTTGCCACGGCACCGCACCGCCGGGCCCGTCTATCTCCTTCCGTCGGCGTCCCCTTTTTCCAATCTAACGGCGCGCGTATTTCCAACGCACGCACGGGCATTAAAGTACGACGCCGCCGGCCCGCGGCTCTTTTGCCCGCCGACCGCCGTCGCCTCCACACGCCGCTGTCGCCGTGGACAAAATCTACCCGCGCCCGTCACCGCCGCCACCGCCTCTTGTATATATATACGCGAGGCGCGACGGCGGCGGCGGATATGTACGTGTGTGCGGTGAAAGCTGTCCGAAATTAAGGATACCGCGCGCGCCCGCCGGGTTCCCTCTCGGTTCTTTGTTCGCGCGCGCCCGCTGTCCCGGACAATCGATTGCAGCCCGCGGTCGCGGTGGTCATTTCGGCCTCTTTCCAACCCTCCCCCGCACCCGTCGGCTCGGGTTCCTTCCACGAGTTCTGCCGGTTTTTTTTTTTCTTTTTCCTCTTTTTTTTCCCTTTTTTCTCCCCCTACCCCCCTCCCCTCCCCCCCTCCCGCCACACTGCCGCCGTCCAACTCCCGACGGGGCGCGTTTCCTGTCACGTACATTATATACGCCGCCGTCGGAATCGGAGACCGGAGACCGGAGACGGAATTGCCGTGTACCGTGCGTACGTACGCGCGTATATATATATATAGAAATATACGAATACCGTCGGCGGGCCGAACGGCACTTGATAGATGAGAAAGAGCGAGAAATCGAGCGCGCGACGAGTGACCGAGACGGGCGAGAGACGGACGGACCGGGAGCGAGAGAGAGACGGATCGGGTCCGGGTAGAGAAACTCGTCGCGTGTGTTGGCGACGACGGCGGTATGCGACGGCGGCGGTTTAATACGAAAAAAAAAATAAAAAAAAAAAAAAGAAACGCCGTAGCCGATGGTCGATTGATCATCGTCGGAGAATGATGACGGCCGAGCGTTCGTCGTCGTCATAATAATAATAATAATAATAATAACGACAATTATTATAATGCGATTATGCGGTGCGCACAACCGTTTTCGGTTCGGCCGGGTTTTTCGAGTGCGCGCGGAAAATCGGTTTTGCGAATTTTTTTTCAATTATTATCCGTTGTTATTAGTTTTTTTTTTTTTTGCAATTCGCGCGCGCATTGTACGCGGGGACCTCACGGTAACGTTATGTTAACGCGCATTTCGTATTGTGTACGGCACCGCGAATGTGTGCGCGCGCGGAGAGTTTACGACAATAACATTCCGCTCGCCGCGCCAAACACCGTTACGCCGCCGCCGCGTGTAACGTCGGGCGGCGATACTATAGCCGCGGACGACTGCGACATAGTCGATTTAACTCTTTAAAACGCGAACGGGTTTTATTTTTATTTTTTTTCGTCGAACCCGAAATAATCATAATAATAATGGGAAAAAAAAAAAAAAAAATTAAAATTAAAAAAAAAAAAAAAACACGCAACAAAAAACGGCCGCCTCGTCAAACGCGAGCCGCCGCCGCCGCCGCCGCCGCCGTGTGCCGCCGACACTTTTTATTTATTCGTTTTTATATTCTCGTTCGGGCGCGTCCTGCCGCGGCTACTGTGTGCACGCATTAAAAAAAAAAAAAAAAAAAAACACATAATACAAATAACGACGAAATATATTATACGTGCTCGCGCGCGCGCTCGCTCGTTTTATTTATTGTGTATAGTTTTTTTTTTTTCGTTATTTTCCCCCCGTTGTTTTCGCTATTATTGTTACGCTGCAGCGCAAATATCCGTTCGGATTCTTCGGTCGGGTTTTTTTTCCCCCCCGTTTGTTTTTCGCGTCCCGGACGAAACACGCGGACCGGACGGCGGATTCGCGTCGAGTCTCGTACGATGTTATCGCGCGAAGCGCGCACCGACAATCACGGCGCCGCCGTACTCCGCGCGATCGGCTTCACGTTCGCGTCGCGTCGCGATTTTTATTTCCCGCCAACATGTTACCGCAAGTAATTTTGCTCCCGTTTATTATCAGGGCTCGTGACTTATACAGGTCCGAAAAAAAAAACGAACTGTTACGAGCGCGATGACATGCTCAAAACTTTTCAAAACAAATACGCAAATGCTACAAGTCGCGAGCCCTGTTTATCGTAGTTCCGAAAATGGCCCGGTCTCTTTATTTAAATCGTTTTCCGGGTAGTTGAGAACAAAAAACGCGTTTTCGGGCCTTTTCGCAATATTGCGACGGCGATTCTTCCGACAACGTATTCGGTCTTCTCGAATCTCGCAATAACGATTAGATTGAGATACGCGCTTTTACCACCACGGAAAAAGCGTACGTAATTGCGTATAATACGATCGGCCGTATAAAATAACCTATACGTTTCGCCATAAAGCGACATCGGTCCGTTTCGACCGGAGCCCCAGAGCTATTACACTGTCGCACAGACCCTCGAATATTATTCGCGGTGATCGCGTGGTTATTTTCGCCGGTCCGTCGCCCGTTCGCTTCGAGCTCGTCGTCGTGTTCCGGCGCGTACCTCGGGACCGGCGGGAGACGTGGCGCTTCTGGAACCGATACCGTCGTGTTCGGGCGAATATTCGCGAACGATGTACGCCTTATCGGAGACGGGCCACTTCCCCTCCCCCTTCCCCTTAACCCTCTCACCGACCCCGTACCCGTAATCGATAGGCCGCTGTCGATATCTTGTACTGCAGGTAACAACAATACCTACCCATACATATTGTAATGTTATAATAGCGAGATAACGACGCAGCCGCCGCCGCGCGAGTGTAAAGGATTAATATTTTTTTTTTCCCCGTATAATCCGGACGGAAGCGAGCGCGGCGTTTTATTATTTATTTCGTTGTTTTTTTTTTTTTGGTGTTTTTTTTTTTTCGGCGTTTCTCTCTCCCCCGGTTAATGGACCGGTCGAAATTTCGTCCCCTCTCCCGTGTTCCGACTGCCAAACCGAAATGACGCCGCCGCGCGCCGTAATAACGTGCACGGTATATTATAGCGTTTCCGTGCGCCAGTTGTTTATTATTATTATTTTTTTTTTTTTCCGTTTCTTTCCGTTTCTAATAAGCGTGCACAGTAGTCACACGCGTCTCGTCATTATTATTATTATTATTATTAGTTAATTTTATACACACGGGCGCTCGTCGATATTATATTATTTTCGTTGCAGTCTCAATCCGCACACGCCACCGTCGTCGTCGTCGTCGTCGTCGTCGCGCGCGCCCTCCTCTGTAAACATTCCGAAAACAACGTCGCGATATTAAACGCGCGCCACGCACCCGCACCGTACAGGACGTACCCGGGTAAGAAATAAAAAAAAAAAAAAACGTGCGTGTACACGGTCCACCGTAGTAAATAATATGCGTGCAGCATAAAACGCACGCGTTACGTACGGACGCGAGCACGTTTTCGGCGTGTCCGTACGTGTGCCGTCCGTCCCGACGAACGCTCGTCGGAACCTCACGACGAGTGTTTTAAATATAGTGTTGCGGGAGTCGCGGCGGCCAAGCCCCCCCTACGCCCCTGCCCCCCCGCGGATCGATTTCAGACGCCCGTTCCCCGCGAGCGTTCGTAAACGGACAGGCACGTCGGAACGCGAATATCACGAACCGTACACAGTCTCTGCGGACTCGGCCGCGTCGCGATTGTACGTATGTGGATAATGTACCGGACTTGTTAAAATCGCCGCCAAACAATACCTACATTGTGTTGCGGTACAATTATACAGGAACGCGGTCCCGTAACCGCGGGGGTATCGTGCCCCCTTACAAGTGTTAAACGTGCGCACGCAGTTAATATCGTTTCCCCTCCCCCCGCCCGACGTCCCTACTTTACCCCGCCCGATGATCCTCGCTATGTACGGGCCTGTTCAGAAATGACGGCGTTTTTAAGACCGATTTTCGTATTGCGGGATGCATACGCGCGTTACTGTTCCGGTGTTACGCGTAGCGCACGGGTCATGTTGTAAACGCGATGTGTCTAATTGTTTCTATAACATAATAAAACAGTATGGTCGACATTTGACAACGTATGTCCGTATACCATTTATACCGTTATTTAGGGATAATTTGGTATGAAAAATAAACGCGGCTGTTCCGCAACTCCAGACGTCGGAACGGCAAATCTACAATTACGCCACTGATCGAGCCCAGCGCCCGGCGATGCGCACTTGGCGGGATTTAGGATGGGTAGAGCCCAGGATACCTATCTAGCTATACTATCACGCCGTCTTAAATGAAAACCGTTCTGCGAACTGTTGGTTTGATAATAATTGCGTACCGATTCTGGATACCGCGGTGATTGAAAACAGAATTGCGTTTCGCGGACGCATTAATTATTGTTACTCGAGCGGCGGGAATGCGTCCGCAATACCCGCGCATATTACTCGCCCGTACTAATCGCGCATCATAGTAATAAACCGTTGTAATAATTTGACTAGCGCGAAAAATGGGGAGGGAGGGGCTGGAAATTAGAATTCGAATCGTTAACCTGCAAACATCGCGTTCGGATAACGATACAAGAGCGATAACGAAGTTTGATGTTTAAATGTTTGAAATCCGAATCGTTTCAGCGGTTTTCAAGTGAATGTCGTTCGGCACGCCGAGATCAATCGCCGTAATCGAAAAATGATCGTACACCGGTCCGCGGTGTCCGATGAATTAGCGTCGAGACCGTCGTTTTATTAAACGCAACACGTTTCATAGGTGGGTTTTTTTTTTTTTTTTCATTTTATTTTATCCGCCCATATTATACGACACGCGAACGGTATAACGAGATTCGTATCGGTGACGGTACAAATCAACGGGAGACTGTCCGCGGCGCGGAATGTAACGCGTGGCGCGGCGGTACGGCGAACGGCCGCCGGGCGAATTTCGCCGAGCTCAGAATCGGTCCTGCGGCTGTTGTGCGCGCGACACGACCGCAGCTCCGCGTAGCGCAACAATACGTCGCGTCGTCGGTCGTTCGGCTGTTGCCGCGCGGTAACAACCGACGGCCGCGGTCATCGGTCACCGGCGAAGTTTCGGCGCGACCCGGCGGCGTCAACGTGCGAAAACCCGTGTACGCGTGGTGTTATTAAATTTATGCGCCGCGGCCGACGAACGATTTGGGCGCCGCGGCGGGATCGCGGGGTTGACGGAACGACGGCAATCGCGTGTTATTTATATTATTGGATTTCAACAGGTCGCCGGGCCCCCGTGACGATTGTCGTCACGTATACGCCGCGCGTGCATACACACACACACACACATATATATATACGTAGTGTACGTATTACGCACATAAGTTATGGGGTATTATTGTTGTTTCGTCGTCGTACACACGCGCGCGTTTCCGACATTTATCCAATATACGCGCATACGTGTATAATATTATAATGTACGTGCATACACACACACACACACACACACACACATATATATATGTATACGTATAGGTAATAAATCGTAAAACGTATAAAACTCCGTACCCCTTCCCCAGTAACGGGACGTTATAATAAGAGGGGCGTAACGCGTTTCCGCCGAAATAAGTGGGCCTTTCCGGTTTTCCGTCAATACCCGTTTCCAACGGACTAGAAAAACGACCGAATCATAACGAGAACGGGAAAATCGGTAGGTAACGCGCGTACGTTACAATATCGCGTTTTTCAATAAAACAATATTATTGCGTTAAATATATTTACTAAAAAAAAAAAATGCCTTTTTAAATTTCAGATACGATTTTGTGAAAAGTATAACTTACAATTTTTTTCAAAAAATACCAACAAATTATATACACGAGTACAATATACAAAGCCGATACGATAAAATTATATCATATTTTTTTTTTATTTTTTTTTAATAAAATATTACATTTTCTATAGGTACATTAAACGCTTACGTTTCTCTAGCCCCTCTCAACGACTTTTTGATGTTTTTTTTTTTATCAAAAGAGAGGGGGGGTAGAGGCTGGAGAAACGAGAAACGTATGTACATATTCGACTGTATACTTGTCACATAAATACTAAACGATATGAAATTTTTACATTTCTCAACTTGTGTAGTACGGGTATGGACACTCGCTAAACATTTATCGAATCAATATCGAGCTAAATAATACGGTTTAGGCGGAAACGGGTACCGTCCGCAACATAAGTGGGGCCGGGGTTTCAATACGAAAAGCGCTTTATTGAGGGGTGGTGATCCAAGCCGACGGTTTTCAAGCGTATCGCACTATTCGAACCGTCCGAATAACGGTAATACTCCGCGAGCGAAACTTTTCGCGTTTCGCGCCGTTTTTGAAAAGCGTTTCGCGCCGCGGCTGGAAACGCGCAACGCCGACGGGAATCGGTCGGCCGCCTGATTGTTCTATACCGAAACGAGATTACCCGTAGTTGTTCAAAGCGCGTGATATTTCATTCGTTGCGCGCGGTTTCCAATTGAATTATTCGGAGTGCGACCTCGAGACATTTCGTTTTCACAAAATTAAAGCTTTTATAAGTGTCGGGCGTACGCAATCGGAACGGATAAACGGTACGGTAATCGTATATGTATATATTGCAGTTGCCGGTGTTCGGGTATTCTCTAACGATTGTCAATCGTTCCGTTTGTACGATATTAACAAACCGTGTTTTTATTGACAGCCGTGATGGTGCGTCACCCGCGGGCTCTAATAATACGAAAATAACTACTGCACGAGTGAAATTTTCGTGTCGCATTTTCAGGTTTTTTTTTTTTTCTTTTT